CCTGTTCTATTTATTTTTAAACATTATTGGCAGTTTAGGCATGAAAATAATCTGCAGTACGTGAACTGACAGAGGATTAATGTTGCAGATGTTCACATTTATTGAGTTATGTAGGGATAGTCTTCAATTCTAGATGCCATTTTCAATCTACTCTAAATTCACATATATTCCCCACATGCAAAGTTTAATATATTCTATTTTCAGAAATAACCAAACAATACTGAAGTGACTGATCAATTCACCTGTGGGGGTAAGGAAGAACTGAACACAAACTCTCTTTGAACACTTTTAGACTACTCAAAAGACTACAGGGTTGCTATGAAAAAAGCCTTACTCTATTTTTTTGAAAACAAATGTGAGCATATTAAAGAAAAGTCACAATTTATCACTTCTGTAAGTGTTTTACTATTTAATTGCACAGACTGCCTATGCAACCAAACTAAAGCAATGTCAAAGCCTAAACCACAGCTATCAGCACCTGATTTCACACTGAATATTATTTCAGCTTCATGCTCCTCTTCAGAATCTCTCTGCAGAGAAAGAGAATACCATCCTCATAATAAAAAAAATTATATCTTTTTTTAAAAGAAAGATACGCTACAGCAGACCAGCTTATTTCATCATTTTACAATGAACTTGGTCAGAGTTACAGATAGAAACTTCTATGCCCTCAAAGGTAAAACTGCAGCAATCCTTTCTTCCCAGAGAGTTACAGCTGTTATGCAACTTATGTCTCTGGACAACTAATTTTATACATGTGAGAGATTTTAACATACCCATTCTCAAAAGTTAGTGCCTAGCTGGAGGATTAACATTCTCAAGTCTGCATCTATCATTTTCGCTTCATCCCCAAAACACAGGCTAAAGATAATGGGAATAAGTCTCCAGCGTGACTGTTGCTGTTGCACTGCAATTCACCAAAACACAAACAGGCCCAAAATAGAAACGAGAAATGTTTTGAATAGTGCTTAGTAAGTTCTCCTGCCAGTATTTTACAAGCGCAAAATCTCTGGCATGAATGACACACAAATTCCCATGCATTCCTTACGCTCTAAGAGGGGGTAACGGCCTCTCAAACTCCAAAAAAATGGGCTTAATTTTCTTGAGAAGATGGCATCCTAAAAATGATTTTTTGTTCATTAACAGATTATATGGGAAGTTATCAGCGGCAAGTATTTAGTCAAAAAAGTCTATTTAAGAAAGCTTTCCAATTTATTCTACTGATGAACAGCACAACAGCAGAGTATTCTACCTGCTTCAGATCACTGGCCTTAGGGCATGGCAGTATTTCTGCTGGGAAGTGATTCAGTAACTCAGAAATGCCACATTTGGTTAGCATGAGAGCAGCTGATACTCCTTCAGCAGTCACACGTACTCATTTATTGTGCCTTGAACTTGCAAGAGAAAAGAAAGTGCAACCAGAAGGAAAAAAGCCACCCGCTGAGCACCCGCACCACGGCAGCCCCGGAGCGGACGTCCCGGCTACACTCCACCGAGCGCTGCCGTCGGCTGCGCTGCCCGCGCCTGCCCTCGCCCTCCAGCCCTTCTCCTCTTGGGGTAACACTGCTGGCAAGCAAGTGGCTTGAACCTCTGCTTCTTAGGAACCTGCAAACAGAAATGTAGCTGGAAACAGCTTTGGAAACACTCTGATTTTCCTGATGCCCTCTGCTGTTTTGGTTTCGTTAAAAGCACACACACACACACACACACAAAATCTGAGAAGAAATTTCCAATACTGCATCAGAGAAAACCATGGAACAAAGAACTTCAAAAATAACAGCCATTCTCATTGTTCTACCGTGTTTTAGATTTTCCTGTTATAAAAATCAATGCATCCAAGGCAAATGCAATTTCAGCTATTATTTTAAGAGGTTGAGCAGAACGGGTAGCTTTTTAAAGAAAGATATTACTTCATAAAAAGTTATTAAAAAAAAAGTTTTCCTCCTCACAGAAAGGGCTTAAAGGATCTTCCAACTGTGTTAACTCCTTCATGCTTTTGTTCTTGTGCTTATTTGAGATAAGGCAGAGCAAGAACCACTGCTGCTAATCCTGAGGACAGAGAGGATGGGCTAGGGCAGGATGCTGCCAGCAAAGCTCCAGGACGTCAGGAATGCTGCTACCCCTGCTTAAATGAGGGTGTTCTGATACGTGAGCTCTACGGTCCCGTCCAAGAGCTACAAGGGAGGAGTAGGAAGGAAGGAATATTTAAGATCAGAATAAAACCAATTCCCAATAGTAAAAAGAAGTACCTTAGTCAATATTTAAGGGGCATTGACATTTAGATACTGACTGTTACTGAAGGCTTTTGAGGCATCTTCTTACTACAGAAAATTAGCACTTCAGTGCTTCATGACTGCAGTATCCAGCCTCCCTGGGAGCCCACTGGGTATACAGTCATTAGATGCTATCTCTGCAGGAGGGCACATCACAGCTGATTAAGTAATCATATACAGTTTTACATATAACAATTTCCTAATAAAACTAACAGTTCCTGTGAGATCTCACACCTCTCTGACTGTATTTCCACCCAAATTAAAGAGTAACTGAAGAGTAACAAGTGTAAAGAGCAACTCTGCTAAAAATGATAATTGAAAAGGGTATGAAAACATTTAAACACATAATATAGGAGAAAATACAAAACCCTTGTTTCTTTTGCTAAAGCTAGCGCCTGAAAGGAGCGCTGCTTTTGTATCTTGCCTTCTGTTGTAAGAAAAAGCCTGTCATATGACCTAGATACCAAAATGCTACTTAATTTCAGTATTCAGACTGCTAAAGTTCACTTTATTTTAAATCTTGATCAAATAGACTTAGACTTTTCTAAAAAATTAAGTCCACTGCAGGATGCCAAGCTACTTGGCTGCTCCAGGTGCAGCTTTACGCAGTGAACTCCGGGTTCAGTGGTTGAACTGTCTGTGTGCTGAAGCCAGTACAAACTCTGATGAGTTCCCTGTTCCCTCAAGTACTAATCACTGCTGCAAGGTACATTTTATGCAGCTTCATGAAGTTTATCAGTTCACTATTCAGACATCAGGTTCTAAGAGCAGCTTTTCCCTCTCTGGCACTACCTTATTTTTTGTACCATTTCCCCACCAGACAGACAAAAGCAGAACTACAACCTCCAACTATCTCAGTTACCAGAGGAGCTTTGCAATCATTTAGCAAATGCTCACATTTCAAAAAGCACATTTGTATCCTTGAATTAGTTACAAGGTTGATTTGTTTTTCTTGTTTTATTTTTTGTTTTAGCATCTGACTTCCAAGGCATGAGGTAATTTTCCTCGCGTTGTGGTGTGAGAAAGGACAGGACTAGATGTAACAATAAACACAACATCACACAGATATCACAGACATTTTTCAGTGCTGACCTCCAAAGAAAAAGTCTCATGGACTTTAAAGGAAGGAATGAAAACGAATCATCATAGCTGAAATTTCACCTTTTGCAGAATCTCCCCATGGCTTACCAGCTCCTACCAATTTGACTAGTTTTGAGGCCAAATGTTAAAAGCTCCTTAAAAGCTTATTGCAATGCACTGTTTGCATACACTAAAGAAGGTTTAACTTCAGCATTTCCAATACGAGACTGTAAGAGGACTTGCAGAGCTCCTTGCAGGAGCACAGAAAGGTGAGAAGAGTGAGGAAAGTAAAGCTTTAAGAAAAAAGGTTGAATAAAATTTCCTTCCATGTGATGATTTTTTTTTGTTTGTTTTACCCTCAGTTGTTTAGCATTTCACTAATTACAAGCCTGACCATGTTTTTTTTTTTTTCTTCCAAAACTACCTTTCTTGCTTCAGAGAAGCAGAATAATATTACTTAATATTTTTGCAGACAGTAAAGAGCTTATAAGGTAAAAAGTACTATTTCAAACAGCAATAAAATAAGTATACTTTCTTAAACATCGTAATTCAGTGTATTAATAAAACCATGACAGCGAAGCAAGGCCAAGGAGAGGACTCGCCCCGTTACGCGTGCTCTCGCGTTTCCTTGGGCTCTTGCTCCGTTTGCAGCAGCTCACCTGGTGCAGCACTCTCTTCAGTTTCAGCAACTGCGTTTTCACAGCTGTGCAGTCTTGGACCATGTGCCGCAGCGTCATCTCATCGAGCATCACCGCGTTCTCGGGCAGGCCCACCAGCTGCCGAGGAGCCTGGTAAAAGCCGGGCGCGCCGTAACTTTCAAAGTGACCAATGGGAGACTCCAGGTAGTTTGATCCCCTGGAAGAAAACACAGAGATGGCACAAAAAAGCCTGAGTGCATTTATTAGAAGTGTTAAGTGACACGGGCTGTACTCATATTCGTGGTACACAGTGACAAAGAAAAATCAGAAAGTGCCAATAACAATTCACTACATTGTTGGGCCTAGCTAGCCTTATAGTTCTTAGCTAGCATAAGAACTATAGCACTGTATTTAATTTAAAACGAATTAATAAGTAAAACCTTATAGCCTATAACATGTAGGTAATAAAACACTTTAATATTTCTTCTTTGAACCTATCCAGTAGTTTAAGCAAAAATTTTTAGTAACATACAAAAGTGGCAAATCATATTTTCAAGTTAATTCCTGCTCAAGGCAAAACACACATTCCAGTTAAAAATCCTTGACAAATTAGGAGTGTTTTTTTTTAATCCCCTTCTTCTCCAAAATAAACACAATAGGACAACTATTAGTTATACATCATAGCAGTTCTCTCATTCAAAAACACTATCAATAAACATATGACTATTCCGAAAGTGCCCTGTATTCAGTATCACCTGAAGCCCTTCAGGACAGAAGAAATTTCTTAACACAGCAACTGTATTTTCTAACTTCTTGAAGAAAATAAGTTAGTTTAACAGGACAACAGGTTCTTACCTGTTCAGATCATTTTTGCTATGGATGTAGTGATCAGTATTGCCAAGATGATAGTGATCCTGTGTATTCCATCGCTGTTGTGGTGCTCTTTTCCAGAATCCTTCCCCATGCTGCCGAGCACTTCTGTCTTGCCTGTCATAACGGCTCATATTTTCACATTCCTCTATACATAGCATAAAGTTATTAAAAAAAAAAAGGAAAAAGAAAAAAAATCTGAAATTCATTGCATATTTCAAGTAAATTAAGTAGTTATGATGGGCTGTTAGCAGGTGCAATGTAAAATCTGATTTCTTTTTGTTTCAACTGAGCAAAAGAGTAAGCATTTGAGAACTGCCAGGCAAATATCAGCAGTGATCTTGCCTTTCTACCAGCATATAAAAATCGAAGTTACAGGAATATGAGTAACCTGTAGCAGAAATTAGAGAATTTCACGTTAACTGCATTTCAGGAATTGCTAGAAAAATCACTTGTACAATATAAAGCTATGGAGAAGGACGAGGGAAAAAAAAAAAGGAAATAAAGAAACTTTTTCCTATCTCCATTACTGACATTACGTTCAGGCCTTTGGGAAGTTAGAACAGTACAAAACATGGAGGGACAACATCTTAGATAAAGGCCAGTACTTTATTCAAAAGAGAAAAGAGAAGAGAGAACAAACAGTTTCAATACATGCATATTATAAGTCTATTTATCTCATCCTATTTTTCTGACCTGTGTTTCAACTTTTAGAGAAGTTTAATCTTTATTCACCCGGACTGTAGCCATGATTTAAAATAACTAAAGTAACCTCTTTAAAACACTGACTTCTGAGAAGCAAAACAGCTTTTGTCCACTTTCGTTTGAGGAATCTATATTTGGCAACAGCTCGGAAACCACGAGAAGCGAAGCCAAAAACTGCGCCGGGTGCCGCGAGACGCAGCA